ACCCCCCCCCCCCCCCCTTTCAATTCTTTCGTATCATCTAAAACTCCCTCTTTTTTTCTTTCTATATTTCTTTTGTTGTCCTATCCTCCATAGACGGTGTTTTCGTTTTCTTTTGTTCATTATTGGGTTTGGCTTTTCTTGCACCATTTATCATCTTGTGAAGAAGACAGGTGACAGCTATGTTCACAAATACTTGTATATACTATTGTTTTTATTTGTTTATTGTTAACTCGAAATCACTCACACACACACATAAAGTGCTAGAGATAGGAGTGTAGTTGAGCTGGAAAAAAGATATATCTCCTGCGCTTTTTGTATAGAAGGTGGTGGAGGAATGAAGGGAATAAGGAAGTAAAGTAGTTATAGTATCTATCAGAATCTGAAATTATTATTATTACTATGTTGTATCGCTTTTTGCCACTGTTTGCTTTCCTTCCCTTCTCCGTTTTACATAACTTTTGCTATTTTTCTTCCCACCCTTCCTGCATGCAGGCTATTGAGTTCAATAGTACATACACGAACGATTTTGAACCCCTGCATACATCAAACGTGCAGGGCATGCGGGGTAACAAAAGGTTTACTAGCGGGCCCAAACTGTGTGGTTCAAAGAAGAGTTTATCTGGTGGCGGTAGCTGAAAGCAACTTGGCGGGAGCTACGCTACTCAGGCTATGGCGCAGAGAAAAAAACGTTGAGACTAACGGGTTTCTTGGCCTTGGTACGGGAGAGGCGCTGCGATGTGAGGGGGTGGGATTTGGTGGAAATTGCATCGGTGGGCTACTGAATTGTTTGGGTGGAATACGAGGGAGGCTTGATTAGGTGGGTTTGAGGTGCAGTGGGGTGTTTGATTGCTGCATGGTTACGGAGTAGGGTGTTTGGTGAGATTTGGTGTATAAGTACATGTAGTAGTAAGGAGTAGTGGTATGTTGGTGATGGAAGATAGTCTTGAGATAGTCTTTTGTTCATGACGTTGCGATCGCGGTTTTTGTCATCACCTAGTGTAGACTACTTATTTCCTATGGTTTGCCTTATAGAGTACATTTCAGTCTTGTGATACTCATC